AAAAAGAAACAAAGAAAATAGAAACTTATTGGACAAGCGATATCAAGGATACCCTCTCCAAGGGGGTTGAAGGATCGTCTTTTTCCCCCTATTAATCGCGAAACGCGGTTAATCGTACGATCGGTCTCGAGACGGTCGTGGAAAATCTTGGCCGATCGATGCCCGAATTTCCCCCGTGGAACGCCGACGCCGACGTCAAAGTCGACGCCGACGCCGAGGACTCGGCTTTATCAATATCGTTGGTCTCGCATTGGCGCCAGCAAACAGGGAAAATTCCAGCCGCGCCAGGGAGATTAGACGTCGATCAAGGAGGTCCTTCCTCGCCGATTATCGAGTGGAGATGATTATCCTGCGGGATGTAATCGTGGCCACCGCGGGATACCCAATGGACCGTGGGATGGATTTTGATTTCGCGGATCGATCTTGAAATCGACCGTGAAAATAGAGAGATTAATTTAGAGCTCGTCGATTGTTACTCATGGCCACGGGTGAATGGGATCTTGTTGCTCGAAAAAGCAAATATAGAGCAGGGTAGTGGAAACGACGATTATCTCGATTACTTACTTATTGTTAGAATAAGATCAAATTAAATTTGCATGCAGAATTGGGCATTGATTCTGGATGGAAAAACGAGCAATTGAGATTTCGAATGAAATTTAATTAATGATATTTGTTCGCAATTATTATAATTGATCTTTGTACTCTTTCTGTAATAAGAGCTATTCGACGCTTTGAATATCAAATTAATCGAAACTATTTATTGTTAAAATTTACCTAATTTACCTATTTATCTTTTGCTTGCATGATATTGCAAGGCATGTGATTTCATGTGAATAATTTTTTGATAGATTTGTGTGTCTTAAAATGCTTTTAGATGATAAAAAAATAACGTTCGTTATTAAAAAAATTAATTATATTAAATTATATGACGCAATATAAGTTTGTTAATTAAATTTTAAATCCCTATACACATTTGAATTATTTTATTTCATAAATATTTTCGCTTATAACTTGTATTTTTTTCTTCTTTCACTTCGAGAGATTAAAATACATTTTACGTGTTTCTAAATCGAAAATTAAAATTCTAGCAATCGACTGCAAATTAAACTTTTCAAGATTAAATTTTTTTTTAGAAAAAGGATTCTTTTTTTTAAATTTATTATTTGACCAAATAAAAAACATTATATAAACAATATATTGAAATATATTGTTTCTCAGACACTAATTTTAAACCTTTTTCGTAGCAAACATTTTTAAATTATACATTCGAAATAAATTTTGTCCAAATCTGATTCAATACAAGTTTCATTGCCTTATTTTTTTTTATCCACCGTGTAATAAAAAGAAATCTAACTATACCATGAAATAGAGAATTGATTAAATTCATAATCCGTAATTATCATCGACTACACAATAAAAAGAAACGAAAATATGCATGCATGACCATTCTTATCGAGCTTACCATCATTCTTTATTCTCTTTTTCATTTCGATCGTATCTTTATAAATTGCACGTGGTTTTTTTTAAAGGCGTGTTTAGAGAAAAAATGCTCGCTTCCGATGTCTCCTTCAAAGTAATTGCGCCATATCGCGATGGAGCATGATCAATGCGAGAATTTCGTTTCAAATGCATCTTAATCACGAAATGTTCGAGTTTCTTGCCAATTTTTAATGATATTCAGTGAAAAAAGTCTCGATATGTATACACAAATTTTAATTAAAACCTGGAATTTTGATTTAGTTATTAATTTCCTTATAAGACTTTTTCAAGTCAAAGAATTTTTTGCGTTCATAATTGTGGATTAATGTTATTAATTATTATTTCTTTTTATTGTCGTTTTCTTTTCTTGATAATTGATAATTTTAATAAAAATATATTTTTCTCTTTCCTTTCGTTCGAAAATTAACGCCTAAATTAGTTTGGTACGGGATAACGTGAAGCAGCTGTCCAACTTTCCAATGGGTGTCACGAGAACGTCGTTAAACGTTTTTACCAAATTTCGATGCTATAAATATCTGATTAATCGCGTATCAGTCCGAAGTGACAGCTGCGCCACGGGTAAAAGCATCCTTCTCTCCATTGATTCAACGAATTCTTCAGTGGAACGTGTTTCGAATTTTATTTTGGATAATTTTATGAACGGTTCCGCTAATTTTTTAATTAAAAAAAAATCCAACGTTTGTTCCTTACTCGTTTCATTGAACAAACGATCCAATGTTTCACGATGATTTCAATCATTCGTTTGTTAAAAAGAAACATAAAAAAAAAGTAAAAAATTAAAAATTGTATAATTTATGAATCACTTGGTCGATAAAAATGAAATGAAAATTTGAAGACACAAAGAAAAAAAGAATAAAGAAGAAAGTAAAGGAAAAATAATGAAATGTAAACTAATAAGAAAATAAGAAAAAAGAAAATTCAAAGCAAAACAAGAATATCTAAAGATCTGTGATTGTGATAAAAGAGAATCTTTTAAAAAATAATCTATAATGTAAATTGGCGAAATTGTATTTTTTGAAAAAAAAATAAATAAAGAATTGAAGATTTTTACAAATTACATATACGATGATGAAGATAAATTATAAACTTGTAACTTGAAAAATTAAAAGTAGAAAGACACACAAAAAAAAAAAAGAAAAATAAGTGAAAAATCAAGAAACAGAAACGTGCCAAAAATTTACGAATTATGCGTGACGAATTAGATGAAAAAATTAGATGAAAAAATAAAGAAAATTTAAAACCAATAAAAAAAAGGAAGAAAAATAGAAAGTAAAAAAAAAAAAAGAAAAATAATGGCAAAGATAATTTCCATTTGCTTTGAGCTGATCTCCCATTGCGTTCACACAACCCATAGAAAGCATTGTGAACAACTGGAACAACAAGAACAAAGAAAACACTTTAATTCAATGATATTTCTCTTGGCCAACGTGCAACGATACGATGGAAATAAACACGATGTTAAACGCGATACATTGCATTTTCCCGTAAATAGCGTTAAATGCCACCGGCTGCAAACGATATATGAAAACTCGTCGATTTTCTTTCCCCTTTTTTCTTTTTCTTCTTAATCCAATTTCATTCATTATTCGCAAGATTCGAGATAAGTTTCCTCCGCGGAATACATAATGCCAAGGCACTTAATTACATCACGACTAACCCTATTCCGGGATATTCAACGGGAAAAAGAATTATTATTAACCTTGTCGCAATTTTACTCGCAACCTTTAATTTACTTTCGAAACATTTAAATTTGAAATTCCTTAATAATATTCCAATTTCTAACTAGTCTCGACTCGACAATGTCTCATCAAAGACAATAATACGCGAGCGAAAAATACCCTGGCCTCCATGATTAAAATATTTTTTCATAAAACAAAAACATTTAAATTCGAAATTCCTAGAATACTCTTAGCCCAATTTCTAACTAGTCTCGACTCGACGGTGTCTCATCAAAGACAATAATACGTGAGCGTAAAATATCCTGGCCTCCATGATTAAAAATATTCGAGACGGTTCGCAGTGAAATCTCTATAATTTTATCTTTTCATAGAGTGTTAAAGACTTTCGCAGGTGGCTGCCACGGTATAAACTCGGTCAAAAGTCGGAAGCGATGAACGATACGGGGGTGGAAGAAAAATCCCATCTAAAGCTCCGTTAACTTCTCGCCCTTCTCTCCTTTTATCTAAAGTCTTGTCGACACGAGAAACTCGAATTAAAGGACCCTCGTCACAATTTTTTCCCCCGTTTTCGGACAGCGACCTCGTTTTTTTATAAACTCGATATTAGACTACAACTCGCTCGTATTTCAACAACGCGCTCTCACAGTTTTAAACTCGTACATCTATTCGAATATATGTACAAAATTATCTAATTGTTAAATATGTACAATATTATCTAATTGTTAAATATATGCAAAATTATCCGATTGTTAAATTAATTATTAAGTGAAACTTTCTTCTTCTTTCTAAATTACTTAGAAGACTCGTTTAATTTTGCATTTTCGACTTTCTACCCCCTTCTTCTCACTCGTGCCACGAATCTACTCAATTATTCAAACACCACTTTTCACCTATCGTATTTCTCCAATCGAATCCCCTGCCCAGAAACCCAAGGGTTTCTTTTAAATCGCGAGAACCTAATAGATTATTCTTGGTCGGTTGTGTTTTGCCGTTTTCCAGGGTCAACAGCCGCAGGCGGAAGACGAGAACACGCCTCAGAAAAGGGTGGACAAGATCTTCGATCAAATGGACAAGAACCACGACGACAAACTGACCCTGGAGGAGTTTCGGGAGGGTAGCAAGGCCGACCCGAGGATCGTGCAGGCGCTGTCGCTAGGCGGCGAGTAACGGCAGGCCTCCTCGAGGCCGGACAAATCGTCGTCGTTCGTTTCAAGCCGAACGATCGCCCCGTCGCCTCGGTCCGGTCGTCGAAACGGATAAGAGAGAAAGAGAGAGAAAGAGAAAAAGAAAGAAAGAAAGAAAGAAAGAGAGATGTTGGGGCGAAAACCCGTTGCACCACAGCCCGGCGTACACGCATACGTAGGTACAGTTGTTGTGATTGGAAAGAAAAAAAAAAAGAAGAGGAGGAAAAATTATTGAATCGACGAGATATCCTCTTGTTATACTTCTCTCTCTTCCTATCGCTATCCATTTTTCTCTATCTCTCTATGTTTCTTTCTCCCTCGCGCGCGGAGGACGACGTTGTTTCTTTCCCTTTTTGCACGAATCGTTTGAGAAAATTGTTGCGATCGTAGCAAGAAGATAGGAACAGTAGAGAATCTCAGAGTAGTGGCTTGATCGTCGATTTTATAGATTCTTTGTATTCGAAACGGTTTACGACGTTACAACCGATTTTCTTTGTACGAACGACAATTGGAGAGATGGTTGGGGGGAAAAAAAAAAATTTGAAAGATGGAAATCGATTGGTTTTCTCGCTCCAACGTGAGAAATCTTGCTCGAAGTAATGGAGCGATTGGAATTAATTTCAATTGGTTCAAAAGGAGGACGTGTTCTCGACGTTCGAAGTTGAGATAGGAGAGATGATAATTGATGATCAATTTGAAGTAAAAATTAACTCGTATAAGCGAGGAAGGAAATTGTTTTCACTCGCGAAATTGTAATTTTAAAATGGGAAATTTGTTTTTGAAGAAAATTAGAAGAAAAGCTAACATTTTTCTTCGATGAAATTTTATTTTATGAACGTATTACGATGCAATTATTTTTTAACGGAATATTCACTGGATTCGATAATAAACGAGATATTTTTTTAATTAAAAAGTTACGTTCGAAATTTAGCGTTCTATGTAATCCTTGTTGTTGAAAAAATTCTCAGGCAAGATCGTATTCGAAACATGAAAAAGACGATGAAATTTCAAAAGTTTTGATTCAACTTTTTAATTTAATTTTCTCGAAGAGATAGCTTATTGATAAAAAGAAAAAAAAATTGCCTCGTGCATAATTCGAAGCTTTATTAAAAATCAGAAATTTTTTTAAATCACTTCTCGAACCTTTCCCCTTTTTAACACAAAGTGCAAGAGAACTTTTCTTTCTCGCTCCAAGCACAAAGAAATATTTATTATTTTGTGCCAAGAGTTTCTGGAAAATTGAACTTTGACCCGATATTCTCGCGAGAAATGAATGCAGAATAAAAAAAAAAAAAAAAAAAAGTTAGAATGGGTCGATGAAACGTTTGCCTTTTTTACTTTCCTCTTTTTTTAATCCCTTCTTCCCCTGCCCTTTTTCTTTCCAATGTTTTTTTTTTTTTTTCGCAACGGTGGGGGGAATTTAAAACGGCGGGAAAAACCAGGAATCAAAAAAAAAGAAGAAAGAAAGTTAGAAAAGGGGCGTTAAACTTTGTTCTTTTTTCTTTTCCCTTTTTTTTATCCCTTCTTACCCTGACCTTTTTCTTTCCAATGTTTTTTTTTTTTTTTTCTTTTTGCGAAACGTTGGTCGAATATGAATACGCGTGTAATACGATGAATCCAGAAAAAAGAAGAAGAGAATAACTGTGACAAAAGAAAAAAAAAGAAAAGAAAGTGCAGTCAAGGATTATTCTTTTCTCTTGCGAATTCGCATTGAAATACCTCCTTCGAAAAAAAAAATTTTTATCCACGTCTCTTTGATCCTTTGCATTTTTCCTTTGATAGTTCATAAAAAAAAAAAAGAAAAATTAAATCTTATTACGAGGAGGGATGGTTCAATTGAAACATCGAAACTGATTGAGATTAAAAAAAAACATAAAAATTAGTTTTTTCATCGAGAAGATAAATTATTATTACATCGTTACTGCATTGATCGATTATGAGAATTTCAAAAATTATTATTCTTTATAAAAAAAATAATCGTTCTGGATATTTCTCACGAATGTTCAAATTCGAGAATCTAAAGAATCACGTTTCAACTCGTCTCTATTTATTATCCTTTCGCGCTACAAAAGTTTCCAAAATCGAAAATGGACGTCGAAACGATACATCGACGGAGGCTTGAAATGAAAAAGGGGAAGCAGATTCGTTCCCCTCACCCTTCGCTTAATATTTTCCACGAGGAATCCAAACTACTATCAAATGCAATCGAGTATTCCTCGCACGTATAGCGCTCAAAGAGGTGCAAAGGGAGAAATTTTTCTCGAAGACGTTACGTATATATTTTTGGTATCTCCGAAGGGGTTCGTATCTCGTTAAAAAATCAGTCGAACGAATTACGATTTAAACGTATTCCTCCGGTTCGCAGACAAAGAATGGTCTATGAAAGATTCAGGGGATACCGGCTGCGGTATCTGGTATCGTGAAAAAAGGAAAAATAGCGAAACAGAGGATCGACGAGAAAATTTACTTCGATTTTATAATGTTCACCTGGTTACTTCTCAACCGTACTTCTTTCTATCCGCACAACGTTTTTCTACCTTCCGTTGCACCTTCTCTTCTCGTTTTTTCCATTTCTCTTTTAACTATTTACAGATTCATGCGGCCTATCATGCGGCCGACTTCTATTTTTTATCTGGAAAGAAAGAGAAAAGAGAAAGAAATACGGAAAAGCAGAGTGAAAACTTCATTTAACATGGACGCATTAAAAATTGGCAGTTTGATAAACATGGTAAATGAGTCGTTCGAAGGATATCTACTGCTAAAAGTTCGATACGTAGTCAAGCAAAATTGAAACGCAAAGAGGAGAGTGATATCGATGATTGCGAAATAGAAACTTCTCCCTTCCTCGTTTACATCTTTACATTACCTACGATATTCCTCGTTTCAATAGTAGCAAAACGAGAAATCGTGAAAAGGGGCATCTCCAAAAAGCTTGAGTTCTGATTTGAATGGATCTTGAATCTCTTTGATTCCTTTCCATTGAAAAATTTCAGATTCGTTAAAATTCTCTGATAGACGGATAAAATGAGATATTATTTCGAAATTAACTATAAAAAAATGTATGTGAATTCGTAACGATCTAATTTTCGAAATAATGATTGTATTAAAAAGAAAAATATTATATTTTTTGATGTTATTAAGCGAAGATACGATTAATAAAAATGGCGAATAATTCCTTCGGTAATCTTCGGGCGTATTCGGATACTTTCGGATAAGTTCGGCCGATCTTTACCGATCCGAAGAATTCCACGATTTCGAAAATTCGCGCGCAAATTTATAGCAAAGTAAAACGAAGTTTAAGTGGCTCGTTAATACGTGTCGCTTATTAAAGTTCGTTATAGTGCAATTTCACGCCATCTGCCTTCAGATCTTGATAAATTTGTAGATATATTTCCTCTTAATTCATATTCTTTGATATTTTTCCGTCTCTATACGAACAAACCACTCGCATCATATTTATTTCTCAATTGAGCGATGAATTATTTCACCTATTTCGTCCAATTATTTTTAGAAATAATTAATTTATAGTCGACATTATATTTATATTTTGCTCTTATTCACACCGAATCGACGATAAAACACATTCTCCTGCTCAAATAGTCCTCGAAGGGTTAATTCAGCGGCATAACGACCTGCTCTTTATGTAGCAAACAATTCTGAAACAACGATTAATCTTGCGCACTCTCGAAACTTATTCCCCGAGAAATTTCTATCACCGAACATGAAAGCACTTGACATTAACATATTACACATACTTTTTACTTATTTTCCTTTCGTGATATCCTCCAATTTTCTTTATTAATGTACCAGTGGTATAAATATATATGTATATCTAATATACATATGCATATCTTTACATAACAATTAAATTCTTATCGTGCCTCTTTCGCATTTCAATCGACTTGCAAACCTAAAGATGCAGATGTCCCGTTCTCATTATTTTCAAAGTAAAAATAATATAAATTAAAATACGTCGTGTTTATCTTTCTCTATACGATTTTTCCATCCAATGAATGAGGCTCGTGTAACAATATCTTACAAAGTGAATTTTTTGAAAATTTCACGAGGTATTGCATTTATTTTTGGCGCAAGTTTACATAAATTCGCCTGGTTTATTAAAACCTATTGTAACGTGTTTTCGTGCACGTTACACATATTTCAAATCAAAATCGTTTTTAAAATTTTTAGCCGTAAAATCAATAGCAATCGTTTTACACCGTAACTTTTCCTAGTGTTTTCCCAGTGCGCTCTACCATCGATCGTCATTATACCGAGGTTGTACCGAGTTTACCACCGGTTGAAAATGTTTTCGAAAAAGCAAACAACTTTTCGCGTTTTGGCTTAACGAGCGCACTCGAATCGAAAACTTTCCGCTCGGATTCAAACTTTTCGTGGTTTAGAATGGTAATGCGCGGAATGTTCGTTTAGAGGGATATCGTTCGTTTCGTGGATGCTTGCGCCATTACATAAATTATGCCGGCATCGTCGTCACTGTCGCCGTCTTGTCGCGTTATATATTTATATATATATGTATATGTGTACACGTATGAATAACAGACATGAAAATTATAATTTCGGATATGCGAAGCATGCTTCTGTATACGCCCCAGGGATTACAGTCGGTGATAAATAATACTTTGAATAAATCAAAGTGACTTTTTTTAGATCCACTTCATTCGTTCTAGTTTATTTTTAACTATTTATTTAGGAATTTCAACTTTTTTTCTCGTTCGATGATTCGATTTACCATCCATAAATGTCAAAAATATCATTGCGAATATTTTTGAGTGGAATAAATGTCAATTTATAGTATTCGTGTATAAAAATATCAAAATTGATACAAATTTTTTTTAAATAATGAATAATTTCCAACACGTTCAACAAGCAACAAGTTTTTCCGATATATCCTCTTGAATCTGATTTTAAAATACTTCACATTTTTTATCTATTTCATAACGATTTCTCAATAATTTATACAACTAATTCAATTTATTCGAAATAAACTGATTAAACCATTTTTGTTATTACTTTGCACAATTTTTACATTTCATTGTTCTTAAAATCACTATTTTACGATATATTTTATGTTCTTTCGACAAATAGCAAAAGATGGAGAAAGCCAATTACTTATAGACGGTATTATTTTTCCTGGATTATCTAAGGACAGAAATAAAATTCCGTTTCGAGTAATAATCCT